ATTTAGAAAAGAAATTTTTTTTAAAATTTTTATGTGTATGAATGTATTGCCTGCATGTACATGAGTGCACCCATGTCGTGCAATGCCTCGGAGGTCAGAAGAGGGCTTCGGATTCCCTTGGAACTGGAGTTAAGGGTGGTTTGCAGCCGCCTTGTGAGTGCTGGGAATCAAACCCAGGTCCTCTGTAAGAGCAGTCAGTGCTCTTAACTGCTGAGCCATCTCTCCAGCCCCAAGAAAGAAAATTTTTAATTAAAAAAAAAAAAAGCCAGGCTAGAGAGATGGCTCAGTGGTTAAAAACACTGGCTGTTCTTGCAGAAGACCCGGGTTCGAATGCCAGCACCTACATGGTAGCTAACAACTGTCTACAACTCCAGTCCCAGGGAATTCGACAACCTCTTCTGTCCTCCGTGGGCATTGCATGACACAGGTGCACTTACCTACATGCAGGCAATACACATATACACATAAAATAAAAATAATAAAATTAGGGGGCTGGAGATGGGTCAGCGGTTAAGAACACTGGTTATTCTTGCAGAGGACCCAGGTTTGAATCCCAGCACCCACATGGCAGCTAACAACTGTCCGTAACTCCAGTCCCAGGGGATTCAACAGCCTCTTCTGACCTCCGCAGGCACTGCATGACGTGGGTCACTTACCTACATGCAGGCAATACAAGCATACAAATAAAATAAAAATAATAAAATTTTTTTAAAAGGCCAGGCATGGGGCATATGCCTTTAATCCCAGCACTAGGAGGCGGGGCAGGTGGATCTCTGTGAGTTCAAGGCCAGCCTGGTCTACATAGTGAGTTCCAGGCCAGCTGGGGCTATGAGGAGACCCTGTCTCAAAAAGACGAGAGAGAGAGAGAGAGAGAGAGAGAGAGAGAGAGAGAGAATGCACGACCTGTGGATGTACACATGCACACAAAACCCAGTGCTGAGCCAACAACTGACACGCAGGGGCATCAAGGGCTCTGGTTGAATGCAGAGCAGCTCAGCCGTGGGGAGCCCCGACTCACTCCCAAGACCCACAATTACAGATCGTTGAGCATCCCGAGGCAGCCCACAGAGCACAGTATAGCATGGCAGCTTTATGGACCATCAGGGCCCTGAGAGCTCATGGCACCTGTACCATTGAACCTGGACCTACTCTCATTGGATCCCTGCTGGAGCTAGGGACACAGGGTGACCAGGACTCTATTCTTCTGGGCCCCACAGCCAAGTGGTCTCACAAGTTCAAGGTCACACGAGTCCCCCAACATGGACGGGAAGGTGAGCTGGGACACTCATTACAGAAACCATAATCGTGAGGCACTATCGGCCTTCAAGGCCACCATACTCCTCAGAACCAGAGGCAGAGGCCTGAAGCTCTATCTTGACTTTCCTTAAAGGAGTGGCCTTAAAGGACACTGTATCCACTGTTGTCCCTGCTGGCCATCCCCCATATCCCAGGCTGGCAGTTTCCCATGCCCACCACTGGCTCTGCCGGTAGTCCTCCATGTGCCCCCTCCACGTCCACCTCTGGCCCTGCTGGCTTTCCACCAGGTGCAGGTGGCTGTGGGGGGCACGGTACTGAACTTGGCGCCCAGTATGCAAGGGCAGCTGACAGACGGCAGCTGAGAAGAGGCCAGGCAAGTTGTGGGCCATCACCTAGGATCAGTGTCTCCACTGGCCACCCTGCCACCTGGATGCTCAGGTCCCTCTGAGTGCTGGTTCTCTCCTGGATGTCCCCAAAGGCACTGTAGCCCAGGCATAGCCTGTGCTCAAGTGACACCGGCTCATTCCTCACCCTGTATTTTCTGGAGGGAAAGGGCAACGTAGGCCCTTGTGGGCAAGGTAGGCCACTATGGTGGCCTGAGGCAGTGGAACTGCAGGCAAAGCTTCCATTGGAAGCGCAGGAGCGCCACCTAGTGACCATTGGGAGCCTCCACACACAGCCAGCTGCTCCTTGGTCTATCCCAGGGGCTGAGCCCAGGTCACACAAGCACATACAAACGTATCTGCTCACAGCTGGCTGCCAGACATAGAGTCCCACACAGCTGCCACCAGTCCCTCAAGATGATGCAGGCCAATGACCCCACACTGAGGCCACTGACCTCACACTGAGGCCACCTTGCTTCTCAGGGGATTACATCACACCCCCAGGGGGAGGGCTACAGGGGCCACATTAACCCCACAGAGGTACAGGATGAGTGCGGCAGGAAATGATGGCTCCAGGTGGACGGTTCCATACAGGGCCAATGGTGCCAACTCTCCAGGAAAGATACAGGGAAACCAAGGGTCAGCTCTGATGGCAGGCAGGAGCCACGGCAACACCTGAACTGGGACAGAGCCTAGTGGATACCACCTGATCACCAATGACCCAGCTTGACCAATGGACATGCCCTGGTCACCACCTACCCAGAGTGACCAGTGGACACCCCTCAGCCACAACTGATACAGTGTGATGGCCAGTGCAAACTGCAAACTTGACAGGATTAAGACTCACAGATGGGTTCGGTACCCCCATGGGATTCTCCTAATGTACTAACCAAGGTGGAGACCCATTAACTGTGGGTGGTGCTGTCCCCTGGGCTGGGGTCCCAGGCTATATGAGATGGACAAAGCCAGTCGGGCACCAGCCCTCATCTCTCTGCTCCTGACTAGAGACACAGAGAGCAGCTCCCTCCCTCTCCTGCAGCCATGTGTGCCCTGCCATTAAAGTTTTTGTCATGGAAACAGGAAAAGAAACTAAGACGATGCCAGGGCAGGCAGGACAGACCTTCCCCAAGGACTGTGGCAGGTCACCTCCCAGGGCAAATGGAGAACATCCTAGATGTCACCATGTGTGCTCAGAGGAAGGAGAGAGGGTGAGAGATGTCACACTGCAGTCTCTGAAGGAAGGGGGGGGCATGAACCAAGGGATACAGGACCTCTGGACGTGGGGACAACAGGATGCAGGGCTGGAGCCGTCCTGCCCAATGGATTGCTGCCAACAGACACTCGTAGGACTTCTCCCCTCTAACTGCAAAGGGACCACCTAGGCTACAGGGACCCACAGCAGCACTTGGCCACATCTCCCAGTCCAGCCCGATTCTAGCCAGCAGGTGGGCACACATACACAGTCATGTTCCACCTCCTGGAGGGTAAAGCGGACTTAGGGGTGGGGGACTTCACAAGCCCTGAGGGGCTTTGAGTGCAGAAAGGGACAGGAGAGGAGGGTGCTTGCCCTGTGTGCACTGATCAGATCGTCCGAGGACTACCCAAGAGACAAGAGCAGGGGCCTCAGCATTACACGGGCCACAGAGGGTGACCACGGGAAGTCACATGGGGCATCTGAGCCCAGTGCTCAGGAGGGACTGGCCTGGAGAATGTATGGAGGTCTTCTCGGATGCCAACTCCACACAGGCTGCCCTTGGCTTCCCCACCACCAACCCTGACTGAGAAGAAGAGCTGAGTCCTAGGGAAGGGGGAGTGCAAGTGCCCCAGGAAAAACATTCCCGAAGGGAACAATGGGGCTACGGAATTCTCAGCTGCAGCCGAGGGCTCCGGCCTCCACACCCGAACAATACAAAGGTCTGGAGTCAGCGCCACACAAACTAGCGACACCTGGGAAGCGGGAACCAGGCTGAAGAATCGCCTCTATCAGCTTGGCCTGTGGTCAAGACTGTGGGGCATTTTCTTGACAGCTGATTGATGCCGGAGGTCCAGGCCCCTGTGGGCAGCGCCATCCCTGGGCAGGTGGCCTGGGCTGTGTAAGAAAGGGCTGCGCAGAGCAGGGGAGCCAGTGAGCAGCTTCCTCCCCGATCTCTGCTGCAGCTCCTGCCCTGGCATCACTTGTAAGGACTGTGACAGGGCATTGTTCCCTCCCTGGGCTGCTTTAGGTCATGGTGTTTAGAAATCACAGCAACAGAAAGCTAACTTGGACACCTGTGCTCAGTACACAAGAACGTATTTTTTTGTTTGTTTATTTATTTATTATCATTTTGAGACAGGGTCTCCCTGTAGCCCCAGCTGTTCTGGAACTCACTAATTAGCCTCTGCTGACCTGGAAGTCACTGTGTAGACTAGGCTGGCCTTGAGCTCCCAAGTGCTGGGATAAAAGGTGTGTGCCACCACACCTGGCCTTCCTAAGCTGCTTTTTAAAGAGAATTTATTTTTATTTTATCTGTCAGGAGTGTCTGCCTGCATGTAAATGCACCATGTGCATGTAATACCCAAGGAGGCCAGAAGAGGGCATCAGACTCTCTGGAACTGGAGTTATAGACAGTTGTGAGCCACCATATGAATGTTGGGAACCAAGCCTGGGTGCTCTGCAAGAGCTGCTGGTGCTCTTAGCTACTGAGCCAGTTCTCCAGCCCCACAAGTCACTTTTCAGGGTGCTTTAACACAACAACAAAAATAAAACTAGGACACCAAGCTACCAGGACACTCAGGCATGATCCACAAAGTCCCCAGCCATGGGCACTGCCCTCATGTCCCAGCAGCACCAGGACCTGAGGAAGCAGGCCTGTCTTTCCTCAAGCTCCAAGATATGACAGTTACTGTGCTGCTGACAGGCCTTGGAGACAGATATGCACAGGATAAGCCAGGTCACCAGGAGCTCACAGCTGTTCTGTTGCAAGTGGCCAGGCAGGAGAGGGCAGGGGAGCCTGACATGGGGCTCTGCTGGGCTACCAGAGACAGGCAGATGGAGACAGCTTCTTTTTGGCATAGCATCAAGGTCCCATGGGTGAGATGAACACGTAGAGTGTGTGGCTGGCGGGAGCTTAGATGGGCCACAGCTCTGGGGATGACTGGCCACTGCCCTGCCTGGGGCAGTTGCAGCAAATGCTGCAGTGTGGTTGGGGCAGCAGAGCACATGGCTCAGCTCCAAGCTAGGTAGCTCTTCCTGGTGTTTGGCTAGCCAGATTGCCCCACACTCCCTGCCTCACACTCACCAGGACTTGGGTTCCCCAAAGTGCAGGTAGTTGATGCTATAGAGATCCATGTCCTCTGTGTGCCAGGCAAACGTGGTCTTCCACATGCCAAAGTACAGGTATGGCGTGTTCACACCCTCGATGATGGTGCCACACTCCCGCTCCACCATGTCCAGAATGGTACACAGGTTGCCGATGTTCCACTGGGCCACGTCCTGCAGGCAGCGAGCATGCAGTCAGCCCAGAGCCCTCCTGGGACACCCACATCCTGCTGCATCCCAGTCACTCACAATGAATAGGAGGCTCCAAGCTGTCAAGTATGGAAGGCCCAGAAGGAGTACTGAGGCCCTGCACATTCCACTGCTATCCCAGCCAGCCTTTCCAGAATGCTAAGAACCCAGTGCACTTGCCAACCCACCTGTCCCATGTGGCAGACCACTGTTCAGAGTCAGACACACACACACACACACACACACACACACACACACCAGGTGCCATGGGGTAGGATGGGGGCTGGGACCAGGAACTGCAGAACAGTGGTAACTACTTCACTTCTAAGTCAGCAATACAGAGGAAGGCAATCTCCATGTGGGTGGGCCCATGCTCAATGACAGCCCTTCCAAAACCTTCCATCAGACAGGACCAGACAGCTTTAGATGGACCCAGACAAACGGGGATGGCGCCCCACCCACCTCAGAGACAAACCCAACCTGGACCTGAGAGCATGAGGTGGCTCGTCACCTCCCAGTGCAGGAGCCAGCACCTCCCAGTGCAGGGGCCAGCCTCAGAGACGCAGGGCACACACAGTGGACGTCCTCGTGTCAGGAACCTTCACACCCATGGTAGTGACCAAACCACCAGCATGGGTTGGAAGCCCTGGGTCTGGGCGAGAGAAACCTGCTGAGGTCAGGGTAGGGCAGCTACTGTGGGGCCCAGTGTCCAGCCAGCCTCATGGGCCTGTCACCAAACTGGATATGCCATGGGCTACACATGTTATGGGACCCTGTGCTGGGCCAAGCATCCTCTGGTTCTGGGCTTCAGTTTCCCCTTCTACAACAGGAGGTTCTGATCTGCTCTAGACAAGGCAGGTGCAGGAATGCAAGCCCCGAGTTTCCTCAGGCCTTGGCAGGTGTGGCTCAGGGGTCCCCACCTTGGCTAGGTTCTTCAAGAGGCTGGAAATGGGATGCAGGGGTACCAGGAGCCTGTCACCGTGCACAGCCCGGGCTCCCGTTCAGACCTAACATAACCTTAGGAAGATGGGAAGATAATGCAGGCTAGACTGGGTCATGGCAGAAACAGGTCACATCAACCTTGCCAAGTTCCTGGGGAGCCACCCCCATGCTATGAGACCCAGAGCCCTGCTGAGGCACTGGGTGCACGCTTGCTACTGCAAGACGTGGAGGGGCAGCTCCCCAGCACTGGGAGGCTGAGGCAGAAGGGTCAGGAGTTCGGGATCATCCTCAGTTAAATGAGTTGGGAATCAGCCTGGGCCACATAAGATCCTATCAAAAAAACAAACAGGAAAACGAGTCACATGCACAAGGAGCCATACATGGCTGGGCAGGAGACAGAGGCACGGAGTCAGGGCTGGGTGGTACAGGGGGGGCTGCATCTGGACAGTGGGATTATCTATAGGGTACTACAATGACAGGCACCTGTTACTTTACACTGGCCAGAAATACCAGGTACATAACAAGAGCAAGCCAAGGCTTTCAGAATGAGGCTGTGTCAACACAGGTGTCACTCTGTAGGTAATGCTGACAGTGAGGGGCCAGGGGGTGCAAGGGAACTGCTCTCTCTCTTTTTTTTTTTTTTTTTTTTTTTTTTTTTTTTTTTTAAAAGGCCACAGCTGACCTGGATTCACTCACTATGTAGACCAGGCTGGCCTGGAACTCAGAGCTCTGTCTGCCTCTGCCTCCCAAGAGCTGGGATTAAAGGTGTGCACCACCACACCTGGCTCTAAAACTGTTCTAAATTTTAGGGGACTGGAGAGCCCACTCAGCAGTTAATAGTTGGCTGCTCTTACAGAGGACCTGGATTCAGTTCCCAGCACTCATATGGTAGCTAACAACCATCCGCAACTCCAGTTGCAAAGGATCAGACGCATTCTGTGGGCACCTGCACACGTGGTACATATAAATTCATGTAAGCACTCATACACATAAATTTTAAAAGTTAAGTCTTGTTTTAAAAATGTTTTGAGGGCCAGGTGTGGTGTTGCACACCTTTAATCCCAGAACTCAGGAGGCAGAGGCAGGTGGTTCTCTGTGAGATCAAGGCCAGCCTGGTCTACATAGTGAGTTCTAGGCCAGTTGGGGCCACAGGGAGACCCTGTCTCAAAAAAAAAAAAAAAAGTATTTTGCATTATTTTTTTCTGTGTGAATGTGTGTGCGTATGTGAGTCACAACACACATGGGGAGGTCAGAGGACGATATTTGGGAACTGGTTCTCTCCTCCTACCACTTGGGTCCCAGGGATTGAACTGAGCAATATTGCCAGTCCAATTATTTTTTTAATAAACAGAAAACAAATACTGATCTACAACTGCCATGCAGACCCAAGACCATCATCCTATGGGGCAGAACTGTCTCTTCAACAGACGCCGCTGGTCAGTGAGCTTTCCCCATCAAGAGTGGCTCTGGGCCTGCATCACAATGCTGCTGACTTAACGTGCTCAGAGAAAGCCACAGGGGCATCATAGCTTTGGAATTTATTTATTATTTCGGTCTTACTGAGACAGGGTACCCCTATAGCCCCAGCAGGCCTAGCACTCCCTATATAGACCAGGCTGGCCTTGAACTCACAGAGAGCTACCTGCCTCTGCTTCCTGAGTGCTGGGATTAAAGGCATGTGCCACCAGGCCTGGCAGTTTTGGAATTTAATAGATTCTTAAATAGGACACCAAAAATGGAGGGGGGGAGGCAGTTAGACGTGTTGGTACACACATTTAGTCCCAGCACTCAGGGAGCAGAGGCAGGCAGGTCTCTGTGAGATTGAGGCCAGACTGGTCTACATAGCGAGTTCCAGGTTAGCTAGGCTACAGGGAGAGCCTGTCTCAAAAAAAAAAAAAAAAAAAAGCGAAAAAAGCAGGACTAGGCTGGGAAGTACAATGAGACCTTGTCTTAAAAGTACAAAGTGGGGGCTGGAGAGATGGCTCAGTGGTTAAGAACCCTGGTTGCTCTTGCAGAAGACCTGGGTTCAAATCCCAGCACCCACATGGCAGCTAACAACTGTCCATAACTCCAGTCCCAAGGAATCCGACAGCCTCTTCTGGCCTCCGTGGGCATTGCATGACATGGGTGTACTTACCTACATGCAGGCAATACACGCACACACATAAAAAAATAATAAATGAAATTGAAAAAAAAAAAGACAAATTGGGGGCTGGAGAGCTGGCTCAGCAATTAAAAGAATTGACTGCTCTTGCAGAGGACCCAGTTTCGAATCCCAGCATGGCAGCTAACAACTGTCCTAACTACAGTTCTAGGGAATCCAATGCCCTCTTCTGACCTGCACAGGCAGTGCACATACATACTTACATGCATGCAAGCAATACGCTCATACACATAAAAAAAAAGAATCATAAAATATATTTTTTTAAAAAGGACAAAACCCAGGCATGATGGTGCACGCCTTTAGTCCCAGCACTCGGAGGCAGAGGCAGGCAGATCGCTGCGAGTTCAAAGCCAGCCTGGTCTACATAGTGAGTTCAGGTCAGCTGGGGCTAAACCTGACCCTGTCTCAAAAAGACACACACGAAAATAGGACAAAGGGTCTGGGGTTTGACTCAGTGGAACTCCTGCAGAGGCCCAGGCTCCATCCCTAATGCTGTGACAAGACAACTCACAGAGCCTATGGGAGGAAAGGCTAAAATTCAACACCCGAGAACCTGTGTCCCATATGTCTGAAAATCTACAATGCAAAAAGCAAAGAAAGCTCATTTCCACCTGCAATGAGTGGATGCCTCTCCAAGGAAGGAAGATGCAGGTGGCACTGTGTGCTTACAAGATACTCAGGTCCACAGGTCCTAGCCAGGGTGGCACTGGGCGGTGGGACACAGGAGAGCTGAACCTCTCATAACTGCAAAGGGAATTGGGAGAGGGCTTGGGGTGAAGTCCATTTGGAGACTCCATGGCCTCCTGCGTGATCCAATAGTGCCATGCTTAGTGTGGACCCCAGAGAAACAGCATGTAGACTAGACACACCAGGGCTCACAGCTGTGTTGTCTGGTCTTGTTTTTTGAGACAGGGTCTACGTATGGCTTCAGCTGGCCTGGAAATCACTATGTAGACCGGTTGGACTCCATCTCAGAGACAGCATGCCCCTGCCTCCTGAGTATTGGGATTAAAGGTGTGCACTACCACACCAGGGACACCTGCATTACCTCACAGCCCAATGCGGCCACAACCTAGATGTCTGTGTACCATAGATGGTGTATGCTGTGTGGCCCCCAAGACACTGAGACCAAGACACGATGCGATGACTGTCCAGTACCAAAGCCTCTTCAAAGCAGCCCCAGGAAGACCCAAGTGTGGTACGCAGCAGCCACCAGATGGAACACAACCACCTGTTCAGCTTCAGGGGATTGGATGCCTACAGCCTCTTCAGGCACGTGCACTTAGGTGCACATAACCACACATACACATAGATAAACACACAATTAAAAATAAAAATTAAAAATCTGGGCTGGAGAGATGGCTCACTGGTTTAAGAACACTTGCCGCTCTTACAAAGAATCTGAGTGAGTCCCAGCACCCATATCCAGTGGGCTCACAACTGCCTGTAACTCCAGCTCCAGGGGATCTGACACCCTCTTCTGGCCTCTGTGAACACCCATGTACAACGCATACACTCACATAGACACACATACACATAAATTTTTACTTTTAATTTTTTGTCTGAGACAGGGTGTCCCTGTAGCCATAGCTGGCCTGGAACACACTATGTAGCCCAGGTTGCCTCAATCTCAGAGCGATCCGCCTGCCTCTACCTCCGGAGTGCTAGAATAAAGGCATGGACCACCATATCTGGTTCATAAAACTATTTTATACATATATTTTTAAAATATTTTTTATTATTTTTATTTTATGTGTATGCGTGTATTGCCTGGGTGTCGGTAAGTGCACCTGTGTTGTGCCCGTGGAGGACAGAAGAGGCTGTTGGATCCCCTGGAACTGGAGTTAGGACAGTTGTTAGCTGCCATGTGGGTGCTGGGATTTGAAGCCGGGTCCCTCTGCAAGAGCAGCCAGCTCTCCAGTCCCATAAAACCTTTTTTTTTTTTTTTTTTTTTGGTCTTTTTGAGACAGGGTCTCTCTGTAGCCCCAGCTGTCCTGGAACTCACTATATAGACCAGGCTGGCCTTGAACTCACAGAGATCCGCCTGCCTCTGCCTCCTGAGTGCTGGGATTAAAGGCGTGCGCCACTATGCCTGGCGCATGCACAATTTTTAAAAAACACAATCCACAGGCCTAGGCAGACAACTCAGTTGGTAAAGTGCTTCTGGTATAAGCTTGAGGAGCCAAGTTCAGCCCAGCACCCACATAAGAAGCCCAGCAACATGCTGGGCACCTATGACCCAAATGCTAAGGAAGAGAAGACAGGAGGGTCCCTGGGGCTCACTCACAGCCCAGCCTAACCTAACTGGTAAGCTCCAGGCCAGTGAGACCCTGCCTCAGAAAACAAGGTGGCTGGTACCTGAGGTATAGTCCTTGGGCCCCCTACACACAATGAGCCTGCAGTGTTGTGGCAGTACGTGTGGGCAGTGGGGCTGGCAGCTGGCTATTGGCCACTGGCCACGAGTATGGCCAGGTCAAGGGTGGCAGCCAATGAGGTAACAGGCCCACCATGCTGGGCTGGAAGCCAAGCTCAAGTGGCTAATGCCGCTGCCAGCCAGTGTGACTCAGGGTCCCCATAGAGGGAACATGGCTCTCAGTTACAACCACAGCACCCCAGGTCAATGAGCCAATGTGCATCAAAGGCAGCGGCCATGTCTCCCATTGTGGGCCATGTGCTGGGCCACCTTCCTGTGCCAGGCGCCACTCTGTTGTATCAAGCAGCATCCAGGAGGCACAGTGGGGGACCCAAACAGAGACATGGCCCATCCCCTCCCATCCGCAAATGGGGCTCTACTTCTGCCTGCTTCTGCTGAACCCTTGCTCTCTGTGCTGGACAGCTTCAGTTGTCAACTTGATACACCTGAGCAGAGGGAACCTCAACTGAGAACTTCCTCCATTGGACTGGCCTGTGGCCATGTCTGTGGGGCATTTTCTTGATTGTTGAGTGATTTGGAAGGGCCCAGTCCACTGTGGGTGGTGCCACTCCTGGACAGGCGGTCCTGTGCTGTATAAGAAAGCGGGTTGAAGCCGGGCATGGTGGCACATGCCTTTAATCCCAGCACTTGGGAGGCAGAGGCAAGCGGATCTCTGTGAGTTGAAGGCCAGCCTGGTCTACATAGTGAGTTCCAGGCCAGCTGGGGCTACAGGGAGACCCTGTCTCAAAAAGACCACTCCCCAAAAAGGAAAGGGGAAATAATCCCTTTCCTCCCCAAACTGGTTTTGGTCAGTGTTTTATCTTAGCAATGGAGGACCCAAACAGGATAGCCCCAAAACTTACATCATCGTACAGTGAGCCACTGATGTCGGCCCCGTAGATGGGCGAGACAAAGGTCAAATTCTTCCAGTACTTGCGCTCCAAGTCATCAAAGTCCTGGTGGCGTGGGGTGCAGTACCTGGGGACAGAAGCAACCACAGCTCAGACAGGGTCTGGGGACTGTGACACCCCAGAGCTCTCCTCAGATCCTGAGCACAGCTGAGAATCAGGGAGGGACTGGGCAAGGAGGGGTTGGGGACACTGGGGAAATGCCAGGGGAATGCTGAGGGGATGCTGGGGGGATGCTGGGGGTCACTGGGGAAACTGGGGGATGCTGGCAGACATTTGGGGACACTGTGGGGTCACTGGGGGATATGGGAAGGACACTGGGGAGATTCTGGGAGGATGCTGGGGGACGATATGAGGACACTATGGGGTCACTGGAGGATACTGGAGGATGCTAGGGGGATGCTGGGAGTCCTAGAAGAACACTGAGGAACACAGGCTGGAGACATGCAGAGCTTTGGGGACTGGGGGTGGCTGAAGCTGAAAATATAGGACTATGCATCCATTTTTTTGTTGAAGGAACCAGCGGACATGAGCCTCCACTGAAGGACCACCAGGCCACAGGCACAGGTGAGGAGAGCTCCCAGGGACAGGGCAGGTAAGGGGTATCAGAGAAACAGAATGACACTTCAGGACCACATGCTAGGAGGCTGTGGAGCCTGCGTACTTCTCACTGTTAGCGAGGCGGCGATACTCGCCCACAGTCATGGCCTTTTTCTGGATGTTGTACTGGGTAAACAGTCCTGACTGGCCGGTCACCACCTGCTGGATGGGAGCCGGGATGACCACATCATCAATGTCGTCATATGTCTGCCGTGGTTTCCACTCCTTGGGAGGGATGATCTGAGGACAGAGAAGGGTGTAGGTGAGATGGTGCCCAGGGGAGCGGGCCCCAGGTCCCCAGAGCACAAACTCCCACAGATAGGTACTGCCCCATGGACATACACATAATGCACAGCTGCAGCCCTTCCAAAGCAGGCTGGTGGCTTGAAGCCCAGAAAAGCCAGGGCCGAGCCAAGCATAGTTCTAGGCTGAGCCACCATGAGGACAAGTTTCACAGTCCCCGACCCCCACTCCAAGGCACTTCTGAACCTCAACTTGGCTCTTGGCCACAGTTCCACATGCTGGCAGCCCTGGCAGAATGGCGCGCCACCGGCCTGTCCCCAGCAAGCAGGGCTCAACTTGTGCGGTCTGGGGACAGCTCGGGTATCACAACCACCCTGGGTCCTGGTCTCAGCAGAGCAGATGGTGATGGGGGAAAAGAACATCCTGGGGTCCCCAGGAAAGGGAACAGTGTGGAGGCGGAAGCTGGTACACACGGATGGAGAACTGTGATGCTTCTAGGAGGGCAGGAGGTCGCTTAGCGCCCAGATGGTCCTGCACATCTCCAGAGGTCATAGCACTGGGGAGAAACACTAAGGAAACTGAAGCACAAGATCTGCAACTTGGCCGCTGGCACCACCACAGTGGGAGATGGCACTCAGACCAGAGGTCCTGGGCTCATGGCCATAGGCCAGCTGGGCATGTGTGTGGTCAGAGGGAGGACAAGGGTAGCACCACTGCCCCCAGACACAGGTGAAGCCAGCACTGGCCAGGCTCTGGCGAGCACCTCCATCCATGTCCTATCCAGGAGGGAAGTGGCCACACGGGGAACTCATCCATCAGTCCTGGTGTCAGGTGCCCCAGCTTTGTTTGCTCAGTTCCTCTGGAGCCACAGCCACGACCCCTGAGCCTCCACAGACCTCTGGGTGGGCCTACCTCCTGTGAGGGCTCCAGCAAAAAGCTCTGAAACCCAGCCCTGCTGGCTCTGGCCACTAGAACCTGACTGGTAACCCTGAGCTCGCTGTCAGTTCTTGGACTGCTGGCGTCAACTGCCCTCCCTATGGGCTGCACTGCCAATGCCCACCTGCCACCTACTGACCATGAGGAGCCCCAAGCTAGCCATGGCAGTGCTCAGGATTGGGGTCTCCACTGGGGTTTCTGGCTGTCTAGGAACACATCCTGGCCTGCAGTGTTTGGAGGATGGGGACTCTGCTCAGCACCCTGCAGTGCACAGGATGCCCACAGAAAACAACACAACAGTGTGTCCACAGTGCCAATGGCCCTGTGAGGACAAGGGGGGGTCAGGGGCCCAGCCTGGGGTCACACTGTACCCAAGGTCACCAAAGGGTAAGCGGGAAGTAGCCACCACGTGGAGGCCACTCTAGATACTGCTGGCCTTCCTGCTGATCCTCATCTGCATCTGGCACCGACAGGCATCATTAGCATCCTGATCCCAGGGGGCTGAGGCTAGCCCCTCCAAGGCTTCTCAAACCCAGTATACCAGGCAGTCAGGAACCCCAGGCGTGAGGGACCATGGTGAGCTCAGAGCATTGGCTGCAGGTGACTCCTCCCAGCCGCTGGCCCAGAGGTCCTTGAAAGACAGGTCAGGACAGTTCAGCTACCAGCAGAAACCCAGCACACACATATGTAAATGCACATGCACACACATACACTTGCACATACATATACAATGACACACACATATACATGTGTACAAACATGAGCACACATATGTGCACATACACAAGGCTAGAGAAATGGTCCAGTGGGTAAGAGTGCTAACTATGCAAGCACAAGGACCAGACTGCAAATCCCCATCACGCATGTAAAAAGTCATGTACATATGACCTCAGCATTCGTGGGTGGAGACAGGTGGGTCCTGGAAGCTCCCTGCCCAGGCAGCCAAGCCCAAAGAGTGAGCTTCCTCCTCTGTAACAAGGTCAGACCAACAAGCAGGGGAGCAGTACAAGAGACACCCGGGACCCTGTACATGGGCACAAGGACCCACGCTCACGTGCACGCACCATGCGTACACAGACCTCGCAAACATACATAAGTACAAATGCACTCAACACATCCACATGCACACACCACACCTCCCATGTACGCCCACACACACTGCCCTTGGTCTGCAGTGGGGACACCCTGGCCTCATGCTCAGGCTCTCCTGCCGCAGACTGAATCCAGCTCCACCCCGCAGCCTCTGCCCCAGGACCACAGCCGCACTCTGTTCACAAGGACCAGGCACCAGCAGCTTTGCCAGACCCAACTCCACCGTGGCCTGCATCACATGGCAAGCACCTGCTGTGCAGCAGCTGGACAGAGTAACTGCACTATCCGTGAAGAAAGTTCCGCTGTGTTCTTGTGGCTGTTCCGTCTTTTTAATTTGGCTTTTTGAGAAGGGTCTCCCTGCAGCCCCAACTGGCCTGGAACTCTCTAACAGAGATCTGCCTCTGCCTCCTCAGTGCCGGAATTAAACCACGCCCAGCTGTTGTGGGGTTTTTTCACTTGTTTTTCTTCTGTAGGTGTGTGTCTCTGCACACACACACACACACACACACACACACACACACACACACGTGGAGTCAGAGGACAACATGCAGGAAGCAGTTTTCTCCTTCCATCACATGGGTCCTGGGGTTCCAATTCAGGGCGTCAGGCAAAGCGGCCAGAGCCTTTACCTGCTGAGCCATCTTATCGGCTAATGAATAAAGTTTTATTAGCATTTACCCACTTATACCCACTTATAGAAGCACAATCTGTGGGGTGTCTGGGCCAAGAACACTTGCACTTACCCGGGGTTTACCATGACTTCATCAGGAAGGCGTCCCCCCATGCCAGCTGCCCAGGCCTCTCTCTATCCCTGGGCCCAGTGCACCCATCCTGTCCTTGCAGCTGTGTCCTATCCAGGCCAGGCTGCTTGCTGGGGCAGGGACTCACGTGGCATGTTTGCAGCCCAGCCCCCACGTGGAGCCCAATGATAAAGGAAGCCTGGGGTGGCCGGGTGACGTGGTGGGTGCCAGGCAGTGCCCTTCAGAGGCAGGCATTCCGCACTCACCTTGGCCAGGCCTGCACGGTGGGCACCCTGTGACTCGATGTAGGCCACATATCTATTGAAGTCCTGGAACTCCTCCATGGTCGGCCGGAAGGTCATAATCTTGCAGCTGGGGTTTTGTGCACTGTGGTCCTCAGACCCCATGGTTCTGGCTGCACAGGTGCCACACCTGCAGGGAGACAAGAACAAGGCAGCTGTGCCATCACCACCTTTCCCTTAGATGGCACCAAAAATACCCTGGGCCATGGCAGGGCAACAGCCCAAAGGCCATCATAGTGTTGATTCAACACAGAAGCACAGCCCTGTCCAAGGAGAGGCGACCCAGGAGCCGTGTGCCCATGAGGCATTCTGGCTGGGTGCCAGTGTCCCACTTGTGCACAGGAACCTGTCTGCAGCCAGGACCTCATCCTGGCAGTACGGCAGGTCCAGCAGTTCAGACACCCCCAAGCCACACCCGCTGGTGCTGGATGCATGGCACTGCCTCTGCCCATGTTCAGGGACCTGGAGCCTGGGGCAGCTCCAGCCCTCAGGGTCCTCTCTCCTGGGTCAGCTTCCCAGGAGCAGGAGACCACAGTGTGTGCTTAGGAGGACACCCCTAGTCCCCTCCTCCTACAGACTCCCAGCAGCCCTGGGACATGGGGAGAGGCAGAAGAGCAGAGTCAACAACCTGATACCAGCTGCTCCCCACACTCCCTGCAGAGGACAGCAGGGGGCACCATATGCTCAGAAATCAAGCCCAGGGTCAAGTCAGGGGCGACACCAGGCTGGGGTACCGCCTCTCTGCCCTTGGCCACGTGTCCACCACCCACGTGTCCACCACGGTGCTGCAGTTGGCAGGGATGTCTGCATACACGGAGGTCCAAAGACAACTTCCAGGAGTCAGTTCCCTCCTTCTACCTTCCTGTGGTTCCCAAGTAAGGAATTAAGGTTGTCAGCTTTGGCTACAAACCCCTTTACCCATGAGTCATTTTGCTGGCCTTTACATATTTTTTAAAATAACTTGTTTTTGTAAGTTACAAAGAGAAAGAAAAATGCACACTCTGCCTGCTCCACAGCTCTTGCTGCGCTAAGAGAATGCAAGTTTCTCGAGGTTGGGCATGCTGGGCACAGCTCTAATCACAATGCTCAAGAGGCTGTGTTCAAGCTCAAGGATGGCTGGGGCTATAGAGTGAGACCCTGTCTCAGAAGAGTAAGTTATACACATAAATAGTTGGAAGATAGAGATGTGGGGCTGGAGAGATGGCACAGCGGTTAAGAACACTGGTTGGTTTTGCAGAAGACCCAGGTTCGAATCCCACCACCCACATGGTGGCTAGTCTGTAACTCCGGTCCCAGGGGATCCAACAGCCTCTTCTGACCTCCAAGGGCATTGCACGACACAGGTGCACTTAACTACATGCAGGCAATACACGTATACTCATAAAATAAAAAAAGTTTTAAAAAAAAAAAGAGAGAGAGATGTGTGCTGGATGGCTTTAGTGTCAACTTGACACCCCTGGGTTGATGGAGCCCCAATTGGGGAATTGCCTTCATTGGACTGGCCTGTGGCCATGTCTATGGGACATCTTGATTGCTGAGTGATGTGGGAGGGCCCAGACCACTGTGGGTGATGCCACCCCTGGGCTGGTGGGCCTGTGTTGCATAAGAAAGCAGGCTGAGCAGGGGCCAGGGGAGCGAGCCAGTAAGCAGCATTCCTCCATGCCCTGTGCTCCAGCTCCTGCTTCCAGGTTCCTGCCCCAAGTTCCTACCTTGGGCTCCCTGATGAACTGTGACCCTGGAGATGTAAGCCAAATAAACCCTTTCCTCCCAAAGTTGGTATTGTTAGAGGATTTTGTCACAGCAATTGAAAGCAAACTAGAAAAGAAATTGGTACCAGGGCTGTAAGGGTATTGCTGTCATAGAACTCACCTTGGTGTTTTGGGGAGGATAGTAGAAGGGTTTGGAACTTTGAACTGGAAAAGCCATTGAGTCCTTAGAGATCGTTGCTGTGGAACTTGAAAAAGTTATGTTGAAAGAGTTCCCTGTCTAGAACTTGTAATATTAACTACTCTTGCCTTTGCTTCTCCTTCATGTCTCCTAGGCACCAGTCAAGGACTTTCTTTTCCCCCTACAGATAAGAGTTATGCAATTTGGGAGTCTTTTAGATAG